GCTGGCTTGACGCTGTCAAGCTCTCTCTTCATCATTGTCCTTTCCTACCTTTTCATTATTGCAGCCATCTTGAGGATCCGTTCTGCTGAAGGCAGGCACAAGGCTTTTTCTACTTGTGGTTCCCACTTGACAACAGTCACCCTATTTTATGGAACCCTCTTCTGCATGTACTTAAGGACCCCATCTGAGAAGTCTGTGGAGGAGTCCAAAATAATTGCAGTCTTTTATACTTTCTTGAGCCCAATGTTGAACCCATTGATTTATAGTCTACGGAACAAGGATGTGGTTCATGCTATGCAGCAAATCATTCAGGGAAATCTCTTTCATAAAATTGAAATTTGGTTATCTGTTCATTTGAAATAAGTGTCTGTGATAATATGGGGATTAGAAATGAGTAACAGAGGGGTTCTTCCTGTGATAGAGTCCCCATTCCAAATTCTTTTTGAGGACCAACATCATTTAGTCTGTGGAACACTTGGTTAACTTAAAACAAACTCTCTTTTTTCTTAAGCAAGGACTTATGTTCCCATTCCTAGGAATCAGAATGTTGCTGATATCCAGATTTAGAATCCTAATTGAAAAAGTGTATTTGAGAATCACTGCAAAAGTACTCTCTATTTTGTCTAAATAATTGTATGCTTCCTTTTAAATTTTTTTTAATGTTTATTTATTATTTTGAGAGAGAGAAAGAGAGAGAGAGGGACAGAACTAGATTGGGGAAGGGCAGAGAGAGAGGGAGAGAGAGAATCCAAAGCAGATTTCAGGCTCTGAGCTGTCAGCACGGAGTCTGATGTGGGGCTCGAACCCACGAACCATGAGATCATGACCTGAGCCGAAGTCAGATGCTTAACTGACTGAGCCACCCAAGTACCCCCAAATTGAGCTAGTCTTTTTTTTTTGTTTCTAATTTTTTTAATGTTTATTTATTTTTAAGAGAGAGAAAGAAGCATGAGTGGGGGAGGGACAGAGAGAAAGGGAGACAAAGAATCCAAGGCAGGCTCCAGGCTCTCAGCTGTCAGCACAGAGCCCAACATGGGGCTGGAACTCAAGAACCTGGAGATCATGACCTGAGCCAAAGTTAGACACTCAACCTACTGAGCAACCCAGGCACCCCTCCTTTTATTTTTTAGTTCTGAGAACCACTATGGCTTCCAGGAACCAATGTGTAAATTTCAGGAACCAATTTGTAAACTTAGTCTTGGCAAATCTCTTAAACCAAATGGTTGACCTCTCTAGTCTTTCTTTATATGCTATTTATTTACTTCTATTTGTGATTTATTTTTTTCATTGTTTAACTCCTTGGGTGAAGGCCACTTCAGAAGTTCTTTAGAAATAGGATACAACAAAATCAACATGCACAAAAATAATCATATGTGTCATACAGCTGTACTTTACTGTGCATTTATATATCACTATTTATTTTAATGTTCAGATAACAAATCTGTGAGAAAATTATGCTCTCCATTTATACCATTTGGAGTCTTAGGCATAGAGAGATTAAATGGCTTTCTACAGTCATTCAGCCACTAAATAGCAGAAAGGCAAACCCCTTGATTCCAAATATTCTCTCTTTCCTATTCTCATTGTGGTTAAATTCAGCAAGCTGTAGTGCTGGGGGGAATGTTGGGGATAATAAAGGGATGAGGTTACTGCACCACATGAAGTCATGGTTATTATCATGAGGGTGTAATAGCTAATAATAGCTAACATGCAATTCCTCTCACATTCAGGCAAACATGATAATTTGTGTGCAATCAAAATAGAATTGCCTTAGTGTTTCATGGAAATCAGGCAGTTTTGATATATGGTAGATCTATTTAGACTATATTTTATGAATATGTTTTCCAGATTATAAAAGCACACATGTTCATTATAAATAACTATAAAATAGAGACAGATGTGAATAAATAACTTTTATCAGTGATATGTCTAAACCAATGGATAATTTGTGTTTCTGGTTTCTGTTTTTCCGTGTTTCTTCTCAGCAATTTTAGATGCATATATATTATGATAATTTGTAAGACAAAATTGGAATCTTATTCCAAATACAAATTTGAATGTTGACTTTCACTTGATAATGTAAAGTTTGCATTTCCTGCAGACTAAATATTTTTGATGAATACCATTTAAAAAGCATTTTTTTAGTGTTTATTTATTTTGGCGGGAGGGAGAGAGACAAAGAGCATAAGCAGTGGAGGGGCAGAGAGAGGGAGACACAGAAACTGAAGCAGGCTCCTGGCTTATAGTTGTCAGCACAGAGCCTTGACACTGGGCTCAAATTCATAAACTGTGACGTCATGACCTGAGCTGAAGTCAAAGGCTTTGAGCCACCCAGGTGCCCCCACCCCCCAATTTTTTTTAAGTTTAATTATTTATTTTGAGAGAGAGAGAGAAAGAGAGAGAGAGAGAGAAAAAGAGACACTGATGAGTGGGGGAGGGGCAGAGAGAAATGGAGAGAGAATCTGGAGCAGGGTCCTTGCTGTCAGTGCTGAGCCCAACAATGTGGGGCTTAACTTGCAAACCATGAAATTATGACATGGGCTGAAATCAACTGAAGGAGCCCCACAAGCACCCCAAGTGAATACAGTTTTTAATGTAGCTTAATACTCCATAATTAAATTACACTTGAACTTAATTACAAACATAACACATTGATTCTAGAAAAGCAAATTGAAAAATATGGAAACATCTAAGGAACAAAAGCAAAATTTACCTTTGATCTCTTACCTAAGACAGCTGCTTTCAACATTCTGGTGTGTTTTCTTCCATTTGGATTAACTTACAAACCATTATTTCATATCTATGCATCCTTTTGTTTTTAAAACTGACTCATATCTCTATGTACATATGTCTCTGATTGTTTCTTTAGGATCGGTCTTAGATGTATGATTGTTGAATTACATGTTTTGAACAGTTTTCAAGCTCTTGCTAAATTTTTTGATGTGTAGATTTCCCTCCAGAAAGCATCAACCATTTATACTTATGAGTAGTCATGTTTGAGAGTAAATATTTCACTATGTTGTTATTAATATTAGGGAATATCCTCTGAGGGTATTTACTTCTTTGTTGTCTCCATAGCAATTCTTGGGAAGGAAGTCTGTTTTATTTTAACAGAATATTATATATATATATATATATATATATATATATATATATATATATATATATATATATATATATATATATATATTTCCAAACATTCTGACTACTTTACTTTTACCTTCATTTCTCTAAAACATAAATACTATAGACACAACTATTATCACATCCATGAATAATCTTTCTGAGTGATGGAATAAATGCAGATTTCTGAGATGGGCTAAGTCTATAAAACCTAGCTCCATATAGAAATACATCAAAAGGATAGCATTGGTTGAGTTCTGGAGTTGTTATCTACACACAGCATGTTTATAGGCAGGTAATCTTATAACTTGCTATAATGTCATTTTAGGACTTTGGAAAAAAATCCAAATGATTAAAATTTTATCAAATTATGTCCTATAAGTATAAATTCAGTACATAAATGCATGCATTTATTATTATTATTTTTTCTTTCCCTTTCTTTTTTTTTTTAATTTAAATTCATGTTAGTTAATATATAGTGCAGTGTTCGTTTCAGGAGTAGAATTCAGTGATTCATCACTTATCTACAACACCCAGTGCTCAGTCCAGCAAGTACCCTCTTCAATGTAAAGTATATATTTAACAAATAAAGAGACTACATCAGTTTGATGCTCCCCTTTTACTTCTGATGATTCCTCATGTGAAGAATATTTACATTATTATTTGGAAAAAAAATATATATTTTTGCTTTGTACTATTCTCCACCCTAAATTTAAATAAGGTTATATCTCTATTATATTTTTCGTTGCCATATTTTATAGGACTATATTGAATTATTCTTGATACAATTCTGTTGTATGTTGTAATATCACATGTACCTCTTTTCCTCACATTTTAAAACCATTTCCTCCTACTAGCTATTAAGCAGCCTTTGTTTTTCCATTGATTTGTGACATCACCTTTATTGCACACTAAGTGAATCTATTTCTGGCCTATTCTATTCCTTTGATCAATTGGTACATACATTTTGAACTAAATTCATATAATTAATGTAGATTTAAGTTAAGTGTTAATTTCTGGTAGACAAATTTCATCTTCATTATATGCATGTCTTTTGAATTCATGGTAGTATAATGCAAATCAAATGCTTCTACCTATCTAACATTTTGTAACAAAGAAATTATGCATATGGTGGCTCAATCTGGATAGCAGGTGCGCCCATACACATGATTTCAAATATAGTGATATATGCAACACATATTCCTTGTAAATTATTGGAAAACATGGAAAAATATTTTAGTCTTCATAGTATTGTTATAGTTTGGTCCCCACATCTGATGGGGAAATGTCTGGAATCTCAGCAGTAGAGAGGTCTACTTTGGGATGAAAGGTTACCGATGGGTTAAGATTGTTGTTTTGTTTTGTTTTGTTTTGTTTTGTTTTGTTTTTGCCAGAAAAGCAAAGAGATTATAAATGAAAAGCAAAACATTTAACTTTGGCATATTAATATTGTGTATTTGTTAACATTTTTACACAAACGTTTATTTTTGTACCATACCAGTGTCCATAATACAACATTATTTTTCACTAAAGATATCTAAACACAGAATCTTATTCACAATTAGGTTGTCCTTTGTCAGTAACTGTCCCCTGAAAGACTGATGTGCCCACACATACTTCTCAACAGTGCATCATTTCAAACACGGTGGAAAAAAAAAGCCTACGTTGATTTGAATTAAAGTATTAGGGAAACCTGGGTGGCTCAGTCAGTGAAGCATCAGGCTTCAGGTCAGGTCATGATCTCACAGTTTGTGAGTTCAAGCTCTGCCTTGAGCTCTGTGCTGACAGCATGGAGCCTGCTTAGAATCCTTTCTCCCTTTCTCTCTGCCCCTCCCCGCCTGCTCTCTCTCTTAAAATAAATAACCTTAAAAAAATAAACATTAAGCTTTTAAATAATCAGAAGAAAACATTTCTGAGGTAAATTGCAGGGTAGAAATTCACAATGGAAGACCGTAGAACTATCTAAAATCAAGAGGCATATTATATTTCAGGAAGTATTTGCCCCAAATAAGATAAAGTGGTAAAGGTATTAACACATGATCCAAAGTACTAACACACCATCATATAAATAAATGTTGAAGGCTATATGCAGAAAAGAGATAAAAATAAAAAAAGGCTAAAAAATTAATGAGTAAAAATACTAGTAACTAAAAATATGAAACAAATGCTCCAGTGCCAGTTTGCCAACTTCAAACCCAAAATACAATAATATGTTAAGATATTGGAACTGGGGTTCACCT